AAGAAAATTCCTTCCTGGGGTTTGAGCTCATGGTGGGATGAGGATGCTACTGTCACAAGAGCCACTCTGGCTTCAGCTCTAAAACATTGCAGACAAAAGCACCTCTTCCACTGCAAGAAGATGTCCAACATGTCTGCAAGAACTGTCTCCAAAGTATGAGTATCAGACCCTATCTCTGGATACAACTGTAGAACAGATACCACTGTCACACCAGAACCGAACTCTTCCTGTTAGCCTGCCTTGCTGAGCTTTGCAGAATCACAGAATCATTAAGGTTGGAAAAGACCTCAAAGATCATCCAATCCAACTGCCCACCTGCAACCAATATCACCCACTAAACCACATCTCAGTGCCACATCCCCACGTTTCGTTAACACCTTCAGCGACGGTGATTCTAACACCTCCCTGGACAGCCTGTGCCAGTGCCTGAACACTCTTTTCAGAGAAGCTTTTCCTAATGTCCAACCTGAAATCTCCCCCGGTGCAATTTAAGGCCATTCCCTTTCATTTTGTCACTAGTTAACTGGGAGGCTGATCCGGTTCGTTAACTGCTACCCTGAGAAGAACCATGACACTGACAGAATTTCAGCTGGCACAGTGGTAATCACATCTGAGATCATCACTGGCACATCTAGTTTCTACCAAACAGTTAAAGGAGGGAGCAGAAAACCCAGCACTCTGTTCACCACCAGAGCCTGAACACCCAATCGAGAGGATGAAGTAATGTGAATGTCTCACTTCATAAAAAAAGCCCAACATCTGCCCACGCACCTTTCCAGCTCTGACCACCAGCACATATTACATTCTATTAAATTACTGACAGGAAGAACTAAAGCTTAAAAAATAAATAACAGATCTGGACAAGAGCCCTGAGACGCAGGCAGCACTCAGCCCAGCTTCAACAACCCCATGCCTCCCAAACCTCATCTCCAGTCTGTGTGGGCTGGTCTCAGCCTGGAGCCTCCTGCTGCCGATCCTCAGCCCCACGCTCCCCCCTGAGCACAAAGGGCTAGGTCATTAATGGCTTGAGGTAATTCTAAACAAATTTATCCTTGCTACAGGATTTTCTTGTCTACCACCAAAGCCTATTAATGGTGTGACATTACAGAGAAGGGCTGGGGAGTGCTTATCCTCCAGTGCAAATGCACGACAGCTTCTGCTTCCCTGTGACACAGTGGCTTAAGCGTGGCTCCTTGCCTCTGAGGCCTGAGCTAATCCTCTGGCTGCACGCTGGAGCAGAGGCTCCAGTCTCAACCTGTCTCCCCAGGAGCAGAGGCCCTGAGACCCAGACGCTGCTGTCTCACCTACTGCTCTTTGCACGTGGAATCCACCCTACACTTTAATTTTAACTAATTCTCTCCCCCATGCTCCTGCAGCAGCCAACATTAGAGCCAATGCTTTCTGAACAGCTGCTCTGGAAAGAGGTGAAGTGAGGGGGAAGGGGAAGAAAGGAGACCAGAAAAATAGAATACAATTGTTTTTTGTCTCCCAGACCCTTTTTAACCCAACGAGCATCTCATCCAACGAAGCATGATGAGCATGAAGTGTTATATAAAGAAGATAATTATAAAGGGATTTAATGCTTGGCAGGCTTGCATCGCAAGGTTTATGGTGGAGGTAGCATACTCACTTAAACAGCCGTGTGTCCAGGCTTGCTATTACGTGGGCAGCACTGCTGGGGCCAAGTGGGATCAGAAACAAGATTTAGAAAAAAAAAAAAAGAAAAAAAGAAAAAGAGCACAGCCCCTCCCCACTGAGGATGGCAGCTCCAGTCCCACCTCCTTCCAGTTCGGTCCCATCCCTGATTAATGATGTTGTCTTCCTGATTTATGACCCACCCCAACAGATTAGAGTTTCCCTCTTCAACCTCCCTCCCTCCCCCCCAGAAGGCACAGCCACACTCCGCTGGAAATATTAGAGAATTATTAAATAAACATTCATACGTCATGTCTCTTCCCATACTGAGCTCATCGTAGTCAACGCTCAGCGGCCGGGGCCTGTTTGCTTTGGGGCTGACACCAACCAGCTGGAGTGATTCATGGAGAGGCTGGCTACAATGCTCCGTGCCATACATCATGCTCGCAGCGCTCCCTGCCCCGGCGGAGATAAACTGATCAACCACAACGGGCTGGAATGAATTTATGACAACACAAAATTGAGGAAAACAAATGGGAGGTGACCCAGTGGGCCACTAACCCAGACTCTCTCGCTGGCCTGCAATCTAGTCTGGTGGCAGAAAGCAAAATTGAACATTGGCACTCTGAATTAAGATGCTGGCTTTTAACCCCAGGGAACCTCGGCCTCAAAATGGCGCCAGGCCGCTGCGGGCAGCTCCAGGGCGGAGGAGGAGGAAGACTTCTGTGGGGAAAAGCACTTCTGTGTCTGTTGCAGAGATGTGGGGTGGGCTTTTGGGCAATTAGGGACCGCTTTGCTGACCGGAGCCGCATCTCGTGCCAGCTGAGCTCGGCCCATCTGCTGAGGGCCCGCATGGCCTGCCTGCTCCCAGGAGCCTTCGGCACAAAGTGGTGCTGCCCAGACGCCTTCCATCGGCACAGAGATGAGGTTATGTGGGCCTGCAGCGCTGGGAAGGAGAGTGCCCAGCACATGGCTGCCACTCAAAAGTTCAGAGCTCACACTGATGAGCTCCAGTTCTCAGTGCTGACCTATCAGAGAAACACGTCTCTCCTCGCCTAGATGTATTTTTGGAAGAGGGGAGGGGGAAAGAACATCACCCGTAAGAAGGAAGGATCGATATGCAGAGCACTGCTAATTCTATTTGCCACTGCCTGAACGGAGGGCATGGCTGAGACAGGTGGTAAGCCATGTGCTTCCCAATGCTTTGAAAAACGCTCATCAGATGCTACACAGTGCTTACCATGCCTATCAGCAATGTGCAGGTCTAAAAGCAAAAATTAAAGTTACAAGCAACAGTGTAAAGCGATGCTGCCGAAAACTTCCTGCAAGTGCCACCCAATACAAGAAAAATGAAACCAATTTAGGTCCAGATTAAGAAACAGGAACTAGAGATGAATCAATTTAGCCTGTTGGGTTGGGTCGTCATATATCATGGCTCAGCAGTGGAGTGGGAATCAGACAGACAGTATGAAACCCTTCCCCCCCCTTCTGCAGGCTTCTAGCTCTGATCCCTGTTATCAATTAATTTAACAGAACCCCTCTACATAGACAAGCACACAGAGCATTCAGACTTCTTAAATGGCAGGACAGAAACTATTTATCACACACAAATCTCAAAGGAAAGGAGCAAAAAAAAAAAAAACCAAACCAAAAACCCAACAAAACAACAACAAAAAACAGCAGTTAGGAAATTCTCCACCTGAAACACCATCTTGCCTTCTGAACCTCAGTGAAATAAAGGGCCTTAAATAAAAAGCCCTCCTTGCTTCTTTAAAAATCAGCATTATTGGAAAGACTCAGCAAGACACAGAGGTCCTTCCTGTGATTTCTATTGGGTTTTGCTGACCTTTCGCACCTTCTGCAGCACTGAAGCTTCAGCAGGACAAGGTTATTGAGGAACAAGGCATTGTGTGCATATATACACACGCACACACACGTGCATGCAAAGACACACACACTCACCCCTCCACTTCACGGTAGAGCTGGCACACGTTGTTTGGAAAGGATTCTGGGATCCTTCAAAAGGTGCTAGCTAAAGCCTCTTTGATCAGATTATTAAAGCTATGTCAATTTTATCACTTGAGCTCAAGTGTTCTGGAAAATGTCAAATCCTTTCAGCTCCTGCAGTTTAAAGATTTTCAATAGAAGTAGATCTGGGAGGGTGGAGGGCTGCTAGTCTGACAGGCAGGAGGCCTGGAGCAGTATCTGAGACAGATGCTGACAGATCAGGGCAAATGGGATGCATGTATTCTTGAGTCCTGGCCACCAGAACATGTACAATAGCTGAGCTTGCGCTAAGGGCAACACTGTTTCAGTACTGACCTGTGAGCTCTCCTGCTCCCTGGTCTTTGGACAAAGTCCGCTCACCAAGTATCAAACAGCACACAGCCCATGTTTGGTATATGCCAAAAAATTGTCTTGCAAAAAGCACCGAGACTGCAAAGCAGTGTTAAAGCTTCCTCTGCAGTAGGGAATTTCCTCAGCTATAACTCCTGATTGTGAACAAAAGCTTTGCCAGGCTGCCTGAACTATGAGACACCCCACAATGTGCAAGTGACACAAGCTTTTGCATCAGGACCAGGGCAAGAAGTTAATTAACTACATTAAAGAATAACTTTCTTTCAAGTCTTCATTTCAACATCAGGTTTTTCCCCATCCTAAATTATCAATATATCTTGCCGCAAAGTGTAAATATTCCCTTCTTAAAACCTGCTTTTTCTCATGTCTTCCATTCAATTCAAGCTGCTTTGCCTCTCACTTGATCTTGGGACAATGTTTTATTTCAGGCAATTACCAACTCAAAAAATCCCATAATTAACAGCCCATGGCAACAGTGGATAGCCTGCACTTGTATGCTTGGACTGCCACATGATGCCTAAGCAGGACACCTCCTGAGCTTGTGGGAGTAAGCTGAGGAGGGAGGCTGTTACTCAACCACCAAGTGCAGAAAAAAAGCATTTTTTTTTTCTCTCCTATGCTGGAGGATATCCAGCTAGCAGAGAGGGAAAGGAAAGGAGATGATTGGGGCACCTGCATTACTGAACATTCAAACACTGAGAGTCAAATTTCTGATTCGACTGGAAGGGTTGGTAAACATAGAATAAACATAGAAACTGAGAAATATTTTTGTTAGTAACCATACAGAGATATAATCTGGATCTTAATTCTCTCAGTGAATCTCCTGCCAAGTTATGGGACTGCTGGGATCCCCCTTGTTGGAAAGATGGAGGGTGGTATATGCAAGTACATTAGAAAAGACAAAACAGAGACAATGGACTGTCCTCAAAAACAGAGATAGGTGAGAGTCAGTGGACTCCATAGTTCTTAAACCAAGAAGAAATAAAAGTTATCCACTTTACACTCACTTTTCAATGTCACTGTTCTTACAGGTCTTCTGCATGGTTTCCTGTTTACTGCTTTCACCATTACTCGTTGAGGGCATTTCTGTTGAGGGAAGAACAGACAAATTATTAACAGAACAGGACATTTTACCACTGAGATGAAGTAGTCTAAGTTACAGTTTCAGAAGCAGAGGACTCCAGTGAGACATTTTCATATCAATTTTTCAAGAGAGGAGACCAATATTACATATCCCTGCCTGGCAGGGAGGCCCTCTCCCTGCATAGCACAGTTCCACAAGTTAGGCTGAAAGTACAGTATGTACCCTCTTTTCACTACAAACTGACTACCCTTGCAGATGTGCCAGCTGTTTAAGCCAGGATTTAATTCAGAAAGGTTTGATGCAGCTGTTGCACCAAAAAGTACTTCCAGAAAGGTGACTATAGAGCAGACTTATCCAGCCCAGACTCTGCTCTCAACTTCCCCCTTTTTTCAAGACCCTTCAGGCACAGACAGGAAGAAGAATATATGCCAGTAAGTAGTATGACAGAACAGTCTGCTTGTGGCTCTCTTCTCAACCAGCAGTCCCATGGCTCCTCCCAACACAGGAGGGGTGTGAGCCTCCAGGAAAGCTAACAGTCAGAAACAAGCCAGATGAACCATCCTGGGGCCAGTCCCTGGGCTGCAGGTTCAGCACCACTGCCTCATGTAAAAGGTATGAAGAAAACAGAGCTCATAGCAAGCACCATAAGAGCTGCTTCCTCATCACTGCTGTGGCTGCAGTTACTGAAGCTGAACACACCTACGAGCGAGTGAGCCTACATCAAAGAAAACAGATGTGATTGCCTACCCCACAGAAGCAAATGCCTGCGATAGATATCTTATGTTCTTCATTTAATCATCATGCCTTTGGCAAAACTGCTCCTACCCAACCCCCTCTTCCACTGACAGTCTCTTATGTCTTGTAGGTACTTTAAAAGCTGGGAATCAAAAGCCCAAAGCATTGCTGTAACAGAACAGGAAGCAGAATCATTGGGACAAGTCTCTTCAGATCACTGAGCTTCAGCTCCCTTCCTAAGGGAGCTAGAATAGCACTGCCCAGCTCTGGAAATGGATTTGGCATCTACAGCTGGAAAGCGCCAGGTTTTATTATTCTCATATTTCCACTGGGTTGCTGCTTACACTTCCAGTGCTGCTGGCATTAAATAAAACAAAGCAACAGCTGAATAGGTTTAACCCTCCACCCCTCAATTAATCATACGAGCTTCCAAATAATTTGAATTACTAATAATGTGAATTAAAATTTCACATTCACTCGTTTGCTCTGGAGTCTCTGCAACAAGTCACAAGGTAGCATAGATCCCAGAACCTCCAGCATACCCCTTTAAAGATGTGAAGATGATAAGCAGCTGAGGGGAAAAAAAAAAAGCAACAGGTGCCTATATAGTTTAAACTCCTAACAGCTGAACAACAACATTACAGTCAAGCACTGATGGCTCCCTCTGTGATATAGCAGTTTGTCTTTTAGCGACAAGACAGCAAGTCAATCCAACCCTGTCTCTATCACCATATCACTTACAGTTCCATTTTTGGGAACTTCCCCAAATTCACTGGCTACAGTTCACTGTGCTATAAATTTAAAAAAAAAAAGGTAACATAATAGATTGCACACACATCTGCTGGTACTGCGCAAGAGCACCTGTACCTATCATTTTCCTAATTACTGGTAATTAGAAGATACAGAATACCTATCTGCCCTCCTGTAGCTAACAGAGGAATTATTGACATGCTTAACACTCACCATCGCTGGCCCATTTAGAAAACTCCGGCGTTATTCGAGTACTGGGTGTGCCACCACTAAAAGAGAGAAGGGCAGAATGTTAAAGGTTGAATGTGGAAGATTTTGCTGCTTGGGAAAAGCCAGTGCTTACGCCCACCGGTCCAAATACATCTCTCCCAACACTTCTAACTATCAGTCTAAGCATCAAATGTGAGCTGCTGGCTTGCTGCAGGAGGTGTTTTTGTGTTAGCTCGCATCTCTACCAGTGAACTCCCAACCTGCTCTTCTAGCTGAGACCTCTGCTGAATCACACGAGGGTTGTGATGCTGACTGAAGGCTTGGGAATCAAATAGCACCTGTGACCTAAAACTCATTCTCGAATACCCAGCTTCAAAGATGAAAACCCTACCAGTGAACAGAAATCCTCCATGCTGCAATAGCTTCTTGCTTTAGAACTAACTGTATGCCATCACAAGCCCCATCCTTCTCATTTTCCCATTTGAAGAATGACAGTATTGAAGTGCAGACCACTCCTGGCCCCATCCATTCATTTGCAAGCCAGTAACAGAGGCAGTAAGAGAAAGGAATCTTCCCAGGAGCCTGTATACTTGCGGCTGTATAACATTTCAGCTCTACGAGCTGTGACAGCTGTGCTCAAAAGGTAACATAGGCTTATGCTTCAGGGCATCAGCTAATTTACCTAATTTACTGCATTCCTACAGAAAGTTGCCCAAATTTCAAAGTGCTTTCACAAGCAACATTATCCCTTCTGCTTTACAGAGAGATGTGGAAAGACTTCATACAAACAGCAAAACATCTTAGGCGCAAGTCACATGAAGGAACTAGGTTTCCACATCTCACATCCTCAGTGGTCTCACTTAAGTGTTAAATGTCCACAGCCACTAATAAGGGACACTGATATCTTGTTACAGCACTTCTTTTTCTTAGCTGTGAAGGGGCTTTAGCATCTCTGAGGCACGTCTGTGGTCTAGCACAGTTTGCAAAGTACTGAATGGATCAATGGTTTGGATCCAGTATGGCAAATACACACTTCTATGGAGTGGAACCTAATTTTGAACTAGTGTTTGTGACAGACTATGCAGTAAGAAAACTTCATTTCACTGCTCTATCAATCACTTCAACCTTGACCTCACAGGATCACTCTGCAAAAGAGACAGAGGGGTAATTTAAGCCCTGCTTTATGCAGGGCAGAGGGCTTAGAAAGCAATCCTAGCTCTCTGTTAAGACTCATTTTACTTGCCTGAAATGCTTCCCCAAGCGCCCTGAACGCTGTCTGCCTACATTCTTGACACATGCTTGTGGGCATAGCACTCATTCTGCCCAGACCTGCATGCAGGATTAATCTGTATACCCTGCAACACAAATATGATGCGATGAAATCATACCTTAGTGCCAGTCTCCTAATACATGGCAAGGTGTGCACAAAGCCCTGACACAGCACAGGTTCCCCATGGCTAGAATCCACCCTTTGTCCAGCACTGCTCAGGGAGAAGATAGCACTGGCTGGGCAGTGTAGTGGTTAAGGTGGGGAAGTGTGTGCAGGGAAGCTTTATGAGGCTGCACAGACAGAAATGGAGACCCACCTGTTACACAGTGGTTCTTTGTAAGACTCCCTTATGGTGGTCCTTTGGTCAAACAAACAGATACCTTCCACAAGTTGAGATTCCCCAGAAGTAACAAAAGCAAATCAGAAAGGCACAGCACTTACTTTAAAACAGCACCTCGGAGCGCCTCCCTCTCTTTGGCTTCACCTGGCTCTTCTCCAGTGCAAGGGATAACGTCTGCCTCTGTGTACCTGAGCACAAGGAGTTAAGAAACATACAGCCTTGCTGCAGACAATGGAAAGAATTCTGAGATGGCTGGGACACTATCTGGGTACAGAACATATTCACATCAAACCTCAAAGGAACACCAGCTGGTATCCATGGAGAGGCTTGCTTTTAGATTCTGGATAACAGTTTTGTTTTAGGTGGAAAGATACAGACAAGTCCTTAGACAGCAACAAAACCACAGCTTTTCAGAAGAGGAAAACCAATTCCTCAACCTCTAAAAGTGAAATTTGCACAACTCTACTATTTCTGTTTGAAGTACGGAGATCAACCAGCTACAGCTAGATGCTTTGGTGTTAAAGACCGGTGCAGATCTGAACACAATCTAATTCTGTAGATTTATATTCCTTCTCAACACAGCTATGTCGATGTCTGCCTAATACTCTTGTGGGAAGTCCTCCTTGATGGCTGCACAGCTGCTTAGGGCAGAAGTTCTGGAGCTGTGTCTGAAGAGTCTGGCTCCCAGATGGAGTTCCAGAAAACTGCCCCTAATGAAGCGTCTAACAAAAGGAATAAAAACTTATTCTTGCAGTTACAGCTGCAGGTGAATAATGCTTGAAATATACACTGCACAAAACCCCTGAAATCAAACAAACATCTTGTGGAAAATAAACTACATTTCTAACCACAAAGCAGGAAAAGCTACCTATACAGAAGACGCTTGGACAGACACAAAAGTTAGTATCACTTATGAAATACAGACTGGAGAAACAGTAGTTTTGATCTCCTTCAACATCTCATATAGACTTCACTAACAAGATCTGAAATAGCTCTGCATGTATACAAGGACCTCAAAGAAAGGAAACTGAGAATCCCTATTAGCTCAAATAATGTGGTAACTGGGGAAGGTGGTGCCCTTTCTAGTATGGCTGGACGCACTGCCCAACACTACCCAGAGCAGTGCTACATAAGCACTAGCTGAAGATGGATCTCTAGGCTCCCTCTCAGTTATAAGCCTTTCAAAAACGATACTGTGGTTTCCCGTATTCAAGTGTGTCGTCCCCATCCACATCCAGGTCTGCGTCGCTGTCTGGATTCTCTTTGCCACTGCACATGATGAACCCAGAACCTGGAAAATAAAACAACAGAATGTGCTGGTGAGCATTTGAAATGGAGACCAAGCAAAGGAGATCTTCTAAGGATAGGGGTACCAGCTTGCAGGTCATCCTTTACTCTGAACGGGCTCACAAAAGGTATCATCATTTAAAACAAACAAGCAAATAATGCATTCAGGGTTTTTTTAATTATTTGAAATGTTTAAGAAAAGCAAACCTGCTTCTAAGAAAACATCAGACTTCAGTCATTAGCAGCCCCGTATGAACACTTCCTATGTGAGCAAGTTCTAGTACAAGTCAACAGGAGTCCTGTACTTCTAGCAAGAGTTGATCAGGCACAAGCCCAGTCCCAAGCAAGAGGAAACGATGCCAGCTGTGCAAGTACTCCTTTCTAGCAGTATATAGATTTATTTTGGTTCCAAAGCATTCTGTTGACTGTGTTACAGCTGGTTGTAATCAGGTTTCTTTTAACTGAATGCAAGCACCTACAGAAGATGGATCTTCACTTGCTATTTACTACCTGAAGATTAGTAATAGGAGGGAAACCCTTATATTTACCCTCTATGTGTTTGAACACTGGACATGCTCTCTCCCATGCAATTGAAAAATTGAACAAAGATCTCCTGCTACTAGGGTAGTGCAAGGCCCTTATCTGCATTCAATTCTATAGCAGATTTAAGGTGAGTTGTCTTGGGACGTAACTATACAGACCTAATTCTGCTCACTCTGGCTGCCTCCAGCACGCTCCTTCACTTACCATCCCACTCTCCTGGGACAGATGGCACTAAGTGGAAGGCAAAGGACGGGGCACAAACAGATGGGTGCTGACCCAAGCCTGAAACCAGGCCTTCAAGCACATCCTATCTGCTGACACCCAACAAGAAAGGTAGAGGTGGCCTTCGCTTTGCATGAATGTCCCAAAGATGGTAGATTTCTGCATTGTCAATCTAAGTGCAGAAGACAGGCTATCATTAATGTAAGAATGGTGAACATGAGGTGCATCTCTGAAGAAAGATGATGTTATCAGAACCTAAGTCAGCCTTTCGAGTGGTATGATGGCTTGAGTTGGGCTCCCACAGTCTCACATGATCAGCAGCAGACTTGTACTTTCCCAGCTGAGAGGAGTGAGCTGTATTCCTAAGTCTGCATCTGTGCAGAGAACAGGGCAAGGCGAAGGTCTCATTTCCAAGGACACCATGCAGACAGAGCCCTTTACTGTCGCTCTCTAGGAATGGATGCTTTCACTGATTCATTAAGCCCCCAATAAAATTTGTTTATATGGATTTGATATTTCTCTTCCCTGAATATAAAGAAGGTCCTTAACGAGGGATAACCGTAGCACAACGATTTTAAGACTAACCTTTTCTAGAAGCATAAACTACCTTTTACTTGAAAGTAATTGCCAGCCTTAATTTCCAGCAGAAGCAACGCTACTAGCATCGACAATGCACATCCACCCTGTGTGTCAGGTAGTGCAAGAGGTGCTCGTAGGTCAGCTCTGCAGTGACATCAGGGCAGCTTCCTTCCATCAGAGCCTTTATAGGTGTAGTGGCCACACACTGCCAGCCAACATATGTCATGAGCTGCCTCCTATTGCTGCAGTGGCTCATCTAGTAAATCTTGGAACCTTCAGTTCATCACAATGTTTGGGGGAAGATTTAGAGTACTAAGAGAGACCTGTCAAAGAAGCTGGATAGTCTTTCAAAGCTGCCTGAGAAGTCGCAGGGGGTGATGGGGCAGTAATTTACAGGCATGGCATTTAACCTGCAGTAACACCATCCCCTGCACCTGGCATTGCTTTAGCCCATCACTTCTCAAAGGCCATAAACTTCGGACATACAGGTCTTCATTTTTCTTTTGTAGCTGTGGGGAACACAAATCATGTAGAGCTAGAGCTGTGACTTGGCCTGTCCCAGAGGTGATCTGAATGTTAGCCAGATAACGAATACTTGGAGACTGCTGGGAGGGAAAGGGGTCCAAAAGAGTGAATCTAAGAGAGACTGCTCCCTGCATGTCTCTCTCTGAAAGAATGCCAAGCACTCAGAAATTGTGCATCTTTCTATCAATTTTGTTCCCAAGTGACTTAAGCTGACTAGTGGTTTATGGTTAGAGCTTAAGAAAAGAAGATCTGCTTACTGTGAAACAATTTACAAATATGAAGGCACCTTGACTTCAGAATCCCAGTGTCCTTGCTCTCAAAACCTTTGCACTTAAGAAAATCCCTTTTAAGTCTGTAATGGTAATACTCCACAGATCTTTTGCTAAATCTAGCTCTGCAGTAGAAATGACTGCATTCCCAACAGGGTGCTTTCTTTCCTACTGTACACAGGAATGTATAGGGGAAGGGTTTGGACAAGACATGTTCAGATGACAGATGCGCACTGGGAGAAGAACAGAACAGAGTAGTTCACAGACTAAGCTGAGCTGTAGTAATAGGGCAAATTTTGCCTTCTGATAGAACAAGGACTCCCAGACCAATGCCTAAAAGAAGTCACAATAAGGTGATCCAACTCTGAGCTCTACGCCAAATATGGACTATCTTTTTAAAGTGTATTTTATTTCTTCTTAAATAAGTGTAATTCATTGTAACATGGTAGAAATAAACCCAACAAACTAATTCAGAAACTGCACACTAAACAAAATAAGCTCTGTACCAAGATTGAGTGTAGTCGTGCTATCAGTTAAGATTTCAAAGGTTGTCAAAAAAAAAAAAAAAAGGGGGGGGGGAGGGCAGAGAAATGACAAAACATGATTCCAGTGCAAATCTAAAAGTCTATAAATCCCAGTACTACCACTGTATGTTGAGAATGTGAAAGAGGAGGATGCCAAGCTTGGTCCAACATCCCCTGCAGGAGGGCTGGTGGCAGGCCGCTCATTCTGATGCCTTCACCTGCAGCAGGGATGGATCCTGAGGCCAGTTCTTATGGGCTGGGGTTTGGTGCCACAGCTCCAACCCGACTCTCCTTGCCTAACTTCCTGAGGTTGCTTCCATGCACAAAGCCAGTGAAAACACCCACACAGCTGTTCAAATATTTGACGTCTGAACTGCTTGACATTATTCATTCATCTCAGGCTCATTCAAAACAGATTTCTGGACAAGTGCTGTTATAAATGGATTAAGAGGGCCACTAAATGCAAGGAAGGCCTGATAGGATCACACCTGCTTCTCAGTAACTCAGCCCAAGTGTAAAGAGGGCTCAGAACTTTAGCTCATGCTGACAGCTCCACAGTACCATCCAGAAGTGAGGAAGATGCGAAACGGAGCACTGAGGGCACTGAGCAGAACAAACCAGCTCTGTAACGGGTCTGTTTCAGACCCAAAGGAGGAGATGGGGAGCTTCCAGAAGACCCCCAGCCACCACACGTGGGTGATTTGCAATCCAGCAGCGTGCCCCTGGTTCCTTGGCAGGGCTTTGCTACCGAAGGACACGCAGTAATTCACTGCATCCGCAGAGCTGCCTAGAGCGCACTGCTAAAACCAATGCCGCTATCCAGAGGTCAATGCTCAAGACCAGAACTTTATCCCAATGTGTTAATAAAGTGAAATCCGACAACTGAATGTTAAGTTGTACGCCTGACCTAGGAATTCACAGGAGATGTGATCCCGAGGCTGTTATTCATAGGAACAGCTGCGAATCTTACACAGAGGGTCACCTAAAGCCTCAAGAACATAATTCCACATGTGAATTTGAAAATGCTACTTACAGATTAAACCAAAGCACAAACTCTCTTACATCTTGTTGAAGAATTTTTTTTTGTTCTTGCTGTGCACTTGGCAGGAGGCAACCACTAGTCATGTGCTGCCATCCCCGACACAATTAGCCTCCTGATGCGAAAGCACCACAATGCTCTGACAGTCTTAATCCCCGCTGCCTCCTTAAGGTCCAGACAAACAGGAGTGAGCAGGCAGGTCAGGCACTGGGGCCATTAAGCAGAGAAAAAACAAAGTTACAGCTCTGTCTCCAATCCCCATTGCTCTTGCAGCCAGGTGCTCTGACAAGCAATTCCAGCACTGGTATTGAGTGGCACCTCTATAAACCCTGTGACAGTTTGGGAGACAAACTCCCCCATCAATCAGAGTGTACCTATCAAGATCACTTACCTAGAGCGCCCGCTGCCCTCCGGCACTGTGTACACAGCTTTGCTTGGGCTGGCCTTGGAGCAATCCACCTGAGCTCCGATTCAAGTCGGTTTCTGAAAATTTTAGGTGATCTACAGAAGCAAAAATGTTTCTGAAATACAGAGGCCGAGCTCTGAAAAGCAGGACATACACGCCTCTTCACCACCACCAGGCTGCAGGCACTGACAGGCTATAGGAATCAGCTGAGCTTGAAGGAGACAGGGAAACACCTCGCACTTCCTTCCACGTACAAATTAATAATGGCTGGTGATAAATCTGATCAGAAACCTTTTTTTCCCTCTTTTCTAAGTTTTCAGAGCACTTTGTTTTCTCCTAAGCTGTCCCCTATGCCTAAGCATCCTCCCTGACCTCTGCACCACTCCTCAAATCGCAGCTCCTTTGTGCAATCCCCCCGATGACAGGTCATCTCAACATATCTTCACTGAATGGCAGCTCTGGCTCAGATAGAGAGTCATTAACATGATATATATAAACAGATTCACAGAACAGAGCAGATAAAAGGACCTCACATTCAAGTCCCTCCTTTTCTCCATCACGCTCGGCAGCAGATGGTTGCAGTGACAACATATGCTGCTTCAGGTGTTGGCACTGCTGTCTCTCATGCTCACATGCAGACTGGTGGACAAAGGAACAGAAAGGTGGGACAACCAGATCAATGTAGATCCAGATCTCTCAGCCAAATTTCATCAACACAGCAGGGAAAACACAGGCCTACTGTGCTCCTCAGCTCCTACCTGGGCAGAACGGTCAATAAACGCAGAGAACAGCTGGTCCCCAATGCCATCCCATCAAACACAACCAAGGAACAAAATTAAAGTGTTAATGGTATTATTAGCCACACCACTGTTGTGACAGCAGCTACTTGATGCTGCT